ACACCATGACCATGGCAACTCTTATACAGGAAAACATTTCATTGGGGCTGGCTTACAGTTCAGAGGTTTAGTCCATTATCATCACGGTGGGAAGCATAGTGGCACCCAGGCAGACATGGTGCTGGAGAAGGAGCTGAGAGTTCTATATCCTGATCCACAGGCAACAGGAGGAGACTGTGAGCTGTGCTGGGCTTAGCTTAAGCACATAAGACTTCAAAGCCCGCCTTCACAGTGACACTTCCTCCAACAAGGCCACATCTACTCCAATAAAGCCATACCTCCTAATAGTGCCATTCCCTATGGGAGCCATTGCTATTCAACCACCACAGCAATCAAATTCTAGTTAAACATAAAATGGCCTCAGCAAGAATACAAGATGGAGGAACCTCTGTACTGTTTTGCCCTGTCACATTACTAGTTGGCTAGTGGAGGTGTATAAGGATCACTTGAACTCCAGTTCTAGGCCAGCCTACACAGAGTAGCAGATTCTATAGGAAGTGAAATGAACTAACAGATGTATGTTTTATTATTATATTTTAATTTTTCAAGTGTCCAGACAGTAAACAGAAATGAGGACTGAAATAGGAACAAATACTCCATTGTACTACATGGTAGTGTCACCTGGTTATCTTATTTGTTTTATTTGCTTAGGATCAAGAGCATATTGAATCTTCTATCTAAGGCCTTACATCATGGTCTGTAGCAAGTTCTGCAAGCTTAATCTTTAAAATGTGTGGAGACTCAAACACTTCTCATACCCTTTACTGTTATCTGCTCTCATCTCGAAGGAATTGATGTACACATTAGAAATTGGCTAAGCAAATCCAAATTCTGTAGGACAGGCAGACAGGAATGGAAGATCACAGGTAGACTATGCTCCAGATTTATCAATAAGCTGGGGGAGTAAACATGAGCTAGAGCTGGGTGTGGTGGTGCACATTTTTAATCCCAGCACCTGGAAGGCACAGATAGGCAGATCTCTGAGTTTGAGGCCAGCCTGGTCTACAGAGCAAGTTCCAGGACAGCTAGGGCTACACAGAGAAACCCTATATCAGACTACCCCCCCATACCCACCCACCCCTCCAAGACCCCCAATACATGACCTGGTTGGGACTCTATTCTTCTGGAAGCAACAGCCTTGACTGTTTTTAAAACAATACAATTATAGAGCTAGGCCCACCTGGATTATTCAAACTCTCTCCTACACAAAGTGAACTATTTAGGGCTTTAATTATGACTTCATGGCAACAGTGTTTGAAAACTAAGGAGTATAGGCAAACCAAGTTCACACATCAGAAACTATACAACCAACTATCCATTGCACCCACCCCAGTCTCATGCCGTCCCCACCTTCACACTCTGCTCTTCTTTTTGCTACTTAAAGTTTATTAGTCTTTTTCCTGCTACAACAGTTTTTCTTGCTTGGGAGCAGTTGTAGATATTTTGCTCATCTCATACAAAGAAGCCACCTTGACTTCCCTACAGCAATGGACTGTAACCTGGAATTACGGGTCAAGTAAACCCTCTTTCTCCCTTTATTTTTAATATACTCACAGCAACAGGAAAGGAAACCAAAAATGTTCTTTTCCAGGAAGTTTGGAATTCAAGTCCTAGATATTGAAGAAAGGTTTTTACATTCTTTGTTTCAGATCCAATTTTAAGGTCTTATTTGAGTTCTCAGAGTTCTCTCATGTTTAAGCAGGGACTAGAATACCTAACTAATAACAGTGCTTGGAAACTAAAGATGCAAAAAAGGGACACATTTCCTATAAACATGTATCTGCATATATGCCATAAATAGTTCTGGTTTTTATTCAGATATACATGACTGTACCTTAGACCTCTTGTTAGAGAAATACCTATTTCTAAATTCTAACATTCTAAAAACTCATGCTCTGGAGACAGTTCTGTTTTCTTAGCACCCTCAACTCCCTAATTATTGCTATATCAATTCTGCAGTCCTATGACATCTTTTCTCTTTGTATTGGCCTATAGATATAGATTTATGTCCATCAGTTTTACCACTTTCTTAACCACTAGGCCAGTTTCTAGACCCTGAATTATTTACTTCATCTACTTAGCAAGATATGAACCATAGTTTCTCCAAACAATACTGGTAATTATTCCCATTCTCTTCTATTTCATTTTCTTTCTTTTTTAAGACTTATTTTTATTTATGTGAGATTAATATGTATTTATTTATGTGCAGTACCACCTGCACGTATGTATATGTGCTATATGAGGGCAGTGCCTGTGGAGGCCAGAAGAGGACATCAGATGTCCTAGAACTGGAGTTACAGATGGTTGGGAGCCACTTAGATGGGTGCTGGGAAACAAACCATGATTCTCTGCAAGAGCAGTAATACAACCACTGGGCCATTTCTTAAGCCCTTACTTCTTTTAGCAGCCATTTTAGTCTCACATTGTAAGGGAATAAACAAAACAAACTCAATTTGGCTTCTTTAGTTGTAGACAAAAGTCCCTATGTACACCATATAGGAGCAAAACTCTGTAGGATGGTGACTACATGCCAAGTCCAAATCAGCACTAGTCATAGGGCGTGAGAACTTAGTGGTTGTGCACTTAGAAGCTAGAAAACATGTTTTTGGAGAAAAAAGCATTAGATAATTAATCATCACTTGGAAAGCCAAGCAAAAGTGATTTTTGGAGCCAGTTGCTTGGGTTTTAGTGCCTCTTCAGGCAGGTCTGTTGAGCCATAGGGAGCCTTGCTACAGATATGCCTATTTCATTTGAATTCATTGCCTCTAAAGGTTATTAAACTAGCTCAAGATGATCTCCTTTACTTGTATTCAAGGAACTTCTTGTCCTCATAGGCCATTGGCACTGGTACTATATTGACTATCATTCAGCTGTGTTCATTCTGGAGCAAACTTCCACGTATGTTTTCTTTCTAAGTTGACTAACATCAATAAGTGTTATATAAACACTGTGGTCAAATAAAGTCAACTGGAAAAAATTCAGACACATGGACTTTAAAACAAATGTTTATTACTGTTTAATGGGACCGAAGGGGCAACACAAAGCATTGAAAACATCACTGGCTCACAAAAACAGCCACCTGGTTACCTTCTTGGTCACATTAGTTTATTCACAAGGTTTCATTCACACATCTACACAAGATACCAATCCACTTCAAGTTCATAACGATTATAAAAGTAAACATTTATTGAGACAATGTACAATAAATTGCACTTTCTTAACAAGCATCACATTTACATTAATAGAGTGTACTATACATAATACATGGCATTATGGAAACAACTAATTGGTCAGTGTTTATAGAGGAAGAGATTGATGGCTAATGTTGGTTTTATAGTCAATTAGCACTCCCAGACTAATCAACTCCTTTATTCTAACCTGTTTTCACTGTAGATGCTGGGGAAAACCATGTCTCACAAAGACAGACAGCATAAGGTTTGTACTACCTCCTCAGTAAGGCAAAGGTAGGAGTTGGAAAGAAAGGAATGGGGCTGACAAAAACCTTTTCCCTAATTTGAACTAAGAATCCATGCATTATGCAAAATGCCAAGAATAGTGAAACCAATGTAGAAGGCTATTGGGACATCTTGGATTCTGGGATCATCTCCAGCTTTATTCTTGTGCTTTCATGACATTAGTCTTTTGATGCATTTATAGTCTCATAAATCAGTTTCTTTGATCTTTTTCTATATGTAATATAGTTATTCAGAGTTGTAGTTTAGTGGAAAGTCATATGTTTATCAATTGCCAATAAAAATAATGTTCATTTTCTTTTCAGTGATTCATTTTTCTCAAACTTTTCAAATACAGTTAATGATAAACCAGAGGTGAGGACAGAATGAGGGGGACATATTGATAGAGACTGTTTTATAGCAGGTGGTGTGTTTTACTGGAGGTAAGCTCAAGCTGTAGGGTTTTGTTTGTTTAAGAGGAAATTGAGAATGATACACAGATAGCTGACTCGTCACTTGAACAAGCATCTACTTTTCTTATAATTCAAGATCAGCGTCACCTGTTGAGGTATAGTCCAAATGGGGGTCCTCATTTTTTACAGATTTGAAAGTTAAGGAAATAGATAACATAAAGTGCCTTGCATGTATTACATATAAGCCACCATAGGGAAGAAAGAATGCTCAGTGTGACCCTCAGCACAAAGACCAACAGAATTTTATGCTTGGTCATTGGAAACAGGCCACAGAGCTGCTGTCTGGGCTTCCAGTTTTGATCACTGTGTCTTGAAATCTAATGTGCATTTGGTTGCAATGTATCTAGGTAAACAAAAGAAAAAGGGATACCCTATAAAATTTCACCACACACACACACACACACACACACACACACACTCATTGTGCACACATGCAAACGCATCTCCAAATATTCAAACCATACAACAGAATTGTTCATTATCTCATTTACTAGATATTAAAGCAAGAGAAGAGAATCATCTATTGTAGAATATTATAAAGAATAAGTTATGTAATACAATCATTTTTTAGTGTCATTCTTAGAAGAGAAAACTAAGTCTTTTTAAAATTTCCTTTCTGTCCACTTATAGGAGTCCTAAAATACAGACAACTACCTTAGTGTTGGATGCACAGGGTCGGTGAATTCATTAGCAGAGTCATTTTCCTTGAGGCACAGCAAAGCTCAGTCCTGATATTAGCTGCACATTTGATCTTTTGTGTGTTGTTTGAAACAGGGCCTGGCTATGTAATCCTGGCTAGCTTGGCACTCACTGTGTAGCCCCATGCTTGCCTTGACCTCACAGGTACGCCTGTGCCTCAGCCTCCTGAGTGCAGGGATTGTGGGTATGTACCACCACAACCAACACTGAGACCTAACCTAAGAGACTACAAATGTAAAGGAATCATTTTTTATCTGCTGTGCCCTCTGACCTGTATATTGTTTCAGTTTTCTTACTTTAACTAAGAAATGAAACCACTAGCTACTAACTGGAAAATAGCTGAAACAGAGTAGGAGCTGGAGAAAAATAAATATATAATGTAGGAAACGGTGAACATTTTTAAAGCAAATGAAACAAAAACTAAACTCTCATCATCATTACAAAGGGTCTTTTTAACTCTATCAGGTACATTCTAGAAAGCCAAAGGAAAAGAAATGACTAATTTAACAGATGGTGAGGGGACAGCAGATACTTCATGAAAATCCAGGGTACAGGCTTATTGGCATTCCCATTACTGTTTCTGATAGGAACTCCTATACTGAAGTGCAGGAAACCAAGAATTTCTTTACATTAAATTATATGTACTAAAAATAACCACTGTGACTTGGCTCAGGATGTGTACCAAACATAGGCACTCCAAAATCCAGCATGGTGTCTTTTGAGAATATACTAAATGAGACTAAGTTATAAAAGCCAATGAATGAGTTGAATCTTCATTTATTCTATAGAACTCAATGAAAAGAGAAATGATCACTTCCCAGATGCTACAAATAATAGCATTTTAGAGGAGTGTTTACTATCATGTAAATCTTAGGAAAGGATGAAAGAAAGTACCATGTTTGAAAAATATCTTGGATACTTGGATGGTTTATCTTTTTTCTATAAGGAATTCAAGAGAGTAATTTTAGCTATTGTGGTGCCTACCTATAATCTCAGCACTTGGAAGGCTGAAGTAGGAAGGTTCTAAGTTCAAGGCTAGCCTAGACTACATAAGTAGAACCTGTTTCAAGAAAAAAAAGTTTCAATTCTCAAATATATATATAAAGTAGTAAGTGAAACTGATGAGTAGTTGCTTTATGTTGGCATTCTGGAGTTCTCAAGCAATAGTGAGGAATGTATGGCTTGAGGCATTGCTATAGTGAAATAGTGAACAAGAAATCACATATTATCTCTTGAAAAGATGGTATAATGCAGGGAAGTTTAAACATAATACCAAAATACCAATATACATGCCCAAGTATCATATGATACCAGAGAACAAAAGAGATTATGTATTGCCATTATGTCTTTTATAAGAGCTAGATGAAAACTCAAAAGATATATTTAACTCTTAAAATATATGGTCCTGGTGATTTTGTTTAAAGAGAAAAAGGGGCCATGAGTCTGAACAGATACTTGATCAAGAGCCATTTTGTTTCCCTCATTTACCACTTATGAAAATTATTCAACTTCGGTATTCTGTGGAATGTATTTATTTTCAGAAGTTAGAAAGAGCTGGAAATGGTATTAGAAGTTCACAGAAATGCACCTTAATTTAGCTGGCCATTTGAAAAAGTGACTTGTCCAGGGCTTTCTGGAGTCCAAGTGCCCAGGACCAATAAAGTTAATTGGCTGCACTAAATGACTGACAGAAATGATGTAATATTCTAGCCATTATATTTAATAGAAAAAATAGCTTATCAGAGATTCAGGGAATGTTAAATCAACAGAGACATCTGGAGTTCTGGGTTATTGTCTTTTGGTAAAAAGAAGTGAATCTTCTGATGAAAGACACCAGAAAAAACAGAAACTTCTATATGGGAGGTATTGTTTGATAAGTGTAACATATCAAACAACCATATTAGTTTTATGGCCTGTAGATAATAGAGACATTTAGAGATTAAAGAAATTTCACATACTAGAACTCAAAAATGATTTTAGAGGAAAGGCTCTATCATGAGCAACTTGAAGTTGGGGGTGGGAGGGCTCTGCTGAGGCTTACCTCTAGAGTGTGTTATTACAGTTACAACATATGGCACAGAGGAGAGCCCTCTGGACTAAATAGTCTGAGATACTTTGGAAACAGTATGCTTAACAATGAAGCCTAAGATGAATATGAAGAAATGTTACTATACATGACTGACAGTAGTTTGGATGCTGTAAAGGGACCAGAGACTTCTATAGTAGCTTAGAAATGGAAAAATTAGTTTTGTTGTTACCAAAGAATTTCTTGTAAGGGCTATTTATACAGGCATGTCAAATATAATTGAAAAAATATTTGCACCAATTTTTTTAAACAGTAACCTTACCTTTCCATGAGTTAAGTAGTTCTATAAAGGTTTAGTCAATCAAAAATGTGAAAAATGCCCTTGTTTTTCTTTATTCCCAGGTGTGTAGGGCACTGTTTCGGGGTTAGGGAGAAGTTAGGAAAGTTTCCTAACACTAAGGTGCTAGGAAGCTCTCTTCAACTTCCTTGGCAATATCACAGCCTTTAGTAAAGTACGGAACATCAGTGTTTGCCTTAACTAGTGTGTCAGCATCCACTAAATCATCCTGTTCCACTCAAAACTACAGTGCCTGAACACGGACCTTTTTAGACTTCTCCAGTGAGGGTCCCCAAGTCGGCCACTGAAAATATCCATCTTTGAGGCTGCATTTGCCACAAGTCACCTCTGTGTTCACACAAAGGCACATCAGGAGAATGAGCCCCATGTGGAGTCCTTCAAAGAATCTGCTAGAATGCCTGACCAAACGACTTGATTGCACATTTACTGGAAGTCTCTATTTACCTAGAGTGCAGTAGCCCAGCTACTCCACAGCTCTTGGCACTCCATTTCCAAATGTAGCCAACTCAAAAGAATTTGGGGGGAACTTTCAAGCCAACTCCTGGTCTGTTTTCTTGGGACAGGAGTAGCACTACTCTGGAAGTCACTTTCAATGTGAAACCTGTCAGTGGGTATGTGCGGCCCCACAGTGTGCTTTATCTAAATAATTCTGGAAAGTTAAAGAGGGTTAATTTTCCTTTAAAAACAGAATTCCATGACAAAGGTCTTACCATTTTAACCTTGGAAAAGCATGTCTCCATTTTTATGTGAGATAAAAAAATGATTATGAATAAATAATTCTAAACAAAAGCATTTAGTTCTAGGTTACTTATTTCCAACTAAATTTCAGGCCTATAAAACAGTGTGTAACACTATGATGGATCTGAATGTGGCTTTCCATGAAGAAGCTGGGAAACAGATATGCAACATAAATCAGGTCAGTTTAAATATCATCCCTTTGAAAATGGCATACACGAAAGGCAGAGCTACTAAAGGTTCTAACTTGCTTTCTGGTCTCCTTTCCTTTCCTTCAAGGGGACAGCAGGGAGGATTCTTGGTTTCTGTTTTGATCACTGTGCTCTTGTGACTGGCTGCGGCGGCGGCGGCGGTGGAGCTATGTGCTCTCCTTGGGTGGCTGGGGAGCCGGTGGTGGCTGTAGTGGCTGAGTGCCTGTGGCTGTTTTGATAGAGTTCAGGGTTTTACTAAACCAAGAGTTTTTTGCAGCTTGTATTTCATTCATAAGTGCGCCTCTCTGATGCTCAAGTTCCTAATGGAAGAAGAAGAAGAAGATCACAGGTTACATAAATGCCAGAATAAATGAAGAGACACTGTTTAGATTCACCAGGCCTTTGCAGCCCGCCCGCCCTCAAAGCCCAGGAGACATTCAGTTGGCTTCCTAATGGAAGAGAAAAGTTGAGAGCTAAAATAGTTACCAATGAAAATGAGAATCCATGCTTTCTATGAACAGTGAAATTAACCACATTTTATTTTCTCTACCTCCCTGCCATTCAGGTCCAAATATAGGTTTAGGTTGCAATTGGAGACTACATGTTTAAAACCACAAATGAATATGAGTACAAATGAGTTTCAATTAAAAAACTGCCTTTGAGAACAGTCAGGGTCCAGACTAGACACACTGCTGAGGATCCTGAATGCAGCATCGGGGTGGGTTACTGATAAAAAGCAGATAAGTCCACAAGGAAGCCAGGCCCATTCTTCTAATTGCTATTATCCAATTTGGAGAGAATGGAGAAAGGAATCTGGCCAATCAGCTGAGACCTAAAAGAACTCCAAAGGGAAGAGTGGGATTAGTGTGTCTTGTGAAGGTAAGACCAACAGAGGGGTTTGGTCTGTCACTTTTAGATCAGCCAACCAAAGTGACCAAGTGAAGGACCCGAGAAAACATTTCAGGGTAAACTGGGGGAAAGGCACACTATTAAGTTCTCACAAAATATAACTTTAGTTATTAATGTTTGTGTCTGTGAATACATGCTATAAGATGTGATGGTACAGGACACATTAGGGATAGGAAATGTACCACTTGCAGGGTCATCATGACTCTAACCCAGGACAGTGTTCTAAAGCCCAGCTGCTTTTTAAAGGACAAGTTCTCACTATATAGCCCAGGCTGACCTCAAGTTCTCAGAAATGCACCTTCCTCCACCTCCCGAGTGCTGGGATTAAAGGTGAATGCCTTAATGTTGGTCTCAGTCCAGCTTCTTGAAGTATGGGTGAGGCCTTCCACCACATGGGGTCATGTAACCGAAGGTAGGGAAGGTCATGACAAAAATTTGGCAATGTTAGAAAACTAATTCAAGGCCAAATGCATAATGAATCTGAGATGTTTCTGTCTGTACTCGTCCATATTCCATCACGTGACTTCACGTCAGCCTTGGTTCTGAACACAGCATGTCCATGCTGCATTGGGCAGGACATCGAGTCAGGCAGCACCAACCAACACTAGCTACTTCAGACACTGGCTCAGAGTTTAGACAACTATATGTTATATGTTACTGTGTTTTTTATTCTACATACAAAACTTGCTGTTTTTATGGAAGCATTGTGATCTGCTGGACAGTGGTGGCGCACACCTTTAATCCCAGCACTCGGGAGGCAGAGGCAGGCGGATCTCTGAGTTCAGGGCCAGCCTGGTCTACAGAGCAAGTTCCAGTACAGCCAGAGCCACACAGAGCCTGTCTTGAAGAGAGAAAGAGAGAGAGAGAGAAGAAACATAGTAGTGATATATTTATAGGAACAATTTTTACTATTTTCCATCATTCCTCAGCACGTAAATTGACACATCTTTGGATTCTATTGTAGTAGACGTGTTTGATTTCAAAAGAATGTTGTTTGAGGGCTGGTGAGATGGCTCAGCAGAAAAGACCACTGGCTGCTCTTCTCAAGGAAGAGTAAAACCTGTAAAATTCCATTTCCAGGAGATCCAATGCCCTTTTCTATCCTCCATAGGCACTGCACACATGTGGTACACAGACATGCATGCAGGCAAAACACACACACACACACACACACACACACACACACAAACCACTGTTTGAGTTGCTGGAAACTTTCTTTAAAAATAAGCCACAAAATGAATTTTGTCTTGAAATTAGGACAGAATTTACAGTTTCTGAAATGGCCTGGAACTATCTCTGACATCTTGGTATATGTATTTATGTGAAATGGCACTTAGAATTGACAATTACAAAATTAAAGTATGGATCAACTCTGAAACATTGAGAATATCTCTGTCTTTTTAATTATTTTATCAAAATGAGTATGCCATCTTATGAACCAAATTCACTTTCCTCTGTATCAATGGTAAACTATCTGTACATTAGAACTCTTGAAAAACAAAACTTTTCATGACTTACTGTCAATACATGTTGGATTTGTAGACCTATCTTCTCTACCCATGGTTGTGTAAAGGGGTCGTCTGTGCTGTGTAATGGGGTTGTCTGGGTTGTGTCTTTTGACCTCTCATCAAATCACCAACCTGAATCTTGCACTTGGCCTCCACCAGCTGCAGTTTGGTCTGTGCCAGCTCCAGCTCCATCTCCCTCAGCTGCTTCCTCAGTGAATCCTTCTCGTCATCGGCTTCAATTCCCTGGTCCTCTCTACTTACGGCTGCTGGCTTTAAAGCTCCTTCCTTGCTGAAAATGTCACTGCAGTGTTTGCACGCCATCATCTTACCCTGAATACACAAAAGAGACACCCAACATCAAACTGTATTCTACAGGCTAAACAACTTCCCAAAATACATGACATTTAAAGATGGCGCATTGGGCCAGGTGGTGGTGGTGCAGAGACAGGCAGATCTCGGTGAGTTGAAGGCCAGCCTGGGCTACAGAGTGAGTTTCAGGAAAGGTGCAAAGCTACCCAGAGAAACCATGTCTTGAAAAACCAAAATAAATAAATAAATAAATAAGTAAATAAAATAATAAAAGAGATAGCACACTGTCTTCAAACATTGAAAGTACATGACTTTCAAAGATGGCACACTGTCTTCAAACACTGTTCTGTTTCTGAAGACGCTGTTGGACCTGTGCTCTCACCAGATGGTCCCAGTACAGGTACTCCGTGTGCATGTCCTTTTGTTTGACTGGTTAAGGGAATGGAGGTGACATGACTGCAGGCTCCTATTGTTAGTCATGAGCACCACACCAAACAAGCAATTCTTTTTGAGACAGCACTGCTCTTGCTTCACTAAATATTACAAAATGATTTACACATCAGGTATATAATGCTTTCTATTTTGATGCCCTACTGTTACAAGAGGCTCAATGTGTCTGTAATGTTAACCACAGTCTTTTCACATGTGCATAAAGGAACTTCACTACACGTCTGTCGGTGTGACTCCACCAGTTAGATCTGGCAACTTTGGTGCTCTCTCTTCATTAGCTACTCCAACATCCTGTCACTCGATCATTAGAGTCTTGATTTGACATGTTCTGGCACTTCTCATTTCAGCTCTGTCTTCAAGTCTCACCTCTCCAGTCCCCAACAGCTTGTCTCTCATTTTGTCCATACTCCACTCTTCACATTATTGTTGAGTAATATTCACTGGACACATTGAAAAACACAGCACTTTTCAACCTCCTACTTAACCTATGGCAATAATTAGCTCAGTTCTGGCACAAAATAAAACACACTAAATATCTGCCATACTTTTAATGTTGACTAAGTACTTGGTTATTATTGTTGACTAAATACTTGGTGCCTAAGTAAGACGCATACTGAGTTTTTATTACATTATAAACGATGAAAAATTACTAAGCTGGGTAAGCAACCTACCCAGCCTCTTTATGTGTCTTAGGATGTGGGGGAGGGGTGTTACTTGATATTGGACAAGGGGCCTTGGGCATGCTAGGCAACTGGTCTACAACAGGGAGTATCTACTCTTAGATAAACCACTTCATTACATTGAACAAAATAAAATAGACTGAGGTCACAAAAGAAGGATAATACTTTTGTCAGAGAAAAGAACACAGAGAGCACCTTCACAGAACTCAAGGAACCTGAAATGGGCAGGCAGACACACCAGCTAGAAATGAGAAATCAGAGTTCTCTGTGGCCTGGTGTAAGGGCCTTATATACCATGATGGATTCATCCCATCAGCCCCATGCTACATGCTGAAGATAGATTTGCCCACTCTATGGAGCCGCTATCTGGTAGATAAGTGTGGCGGATTGTGCTGATTCCTACCAATATCCTCTCCTTTCTTGTAATAGACCCTTGATTTGATTTGCTCTGGCAGCATGTCCAGACAAATGGTGATATTTCTTAGACTCCTTTGCAGTTAAGTGTAACCATGAATTAAGTTCTGATAATATAAGCAGAAATGTAGTTCAGAAGGCTTCTAAGCCTGCTTAGAAAGATCTTGCTCTGCCGGAATAAGGCTGTTAGATCTTTGCATCTCCACTGGCTTAAAGCTTTGGAGTGTAGGAATGTTGGTGTAAGTTTCAGTCAGTAATTTGGTCTTTATGTGACCTTGCTGATGGAAGCCCTGGGGTTACAGTGAACAAGAGGAGCTCCTTTTCAAGAAAATGGTGTTATTGTTTACATTACATTAGGATAATGTGGACAAGGATCTACTTCTCTAGTCCTAGACTTTTTTTTTTTAAATATATCTTTTGTGTTTAAGCCAGTGTTCTTTTGAGTTGGTTATATGTCTTTAAGTATAAACATACACAGAGTGAGTAGTAAAATTTGTATATGGGCATGACCATTGTGATTATAGTATAGAGGATGAACTAGAACTGTCACAGTATTATAGGACACTGGAGAATCAAACTTACACACCATACCAAATGAGATGCAGAAGCAGCACTGGAGGCTAATGACCAAGAATATGGATTCGTCTGACTCTGGGTTCAAATCCTATTTCTACTGCTTACTAGCACTGTAATTTAATCAATGAACCCCTATTTGGGGCCTCCCCTCAACCACTGGAAGACAGTCACGTGTGTCTCCTAGGATAGGCATGGGGCTAAAGGGAAGATGCATAGGAAGCTTTAGGACAGCCCTGAGTGCTGTGCACAGCAGGTGCTACAGATGCTAGTCACTCTTCTGATACAAGTTCACCTTTCTCTTAGGATACCATCACTTTTCTTTAGCTCATCTTACCTTCTTGTTTTTCCCCATTCCTAGTTACTACTTATCCTACTCACAACTGTCTCCTCTAATGAATAACGAAAATGCTGACTCTGTGTCTTCATTCACACTGTTTTTCCAGAGTATTCTTTTACATCCTTCTCTCTAACTGAATTCTATGAGCCCTGTATTATCCCAAAGCCCTCTGTCCTGTAGTTCTTAGATTTTGTCTTCTCTATAGCTCTGATTGTCAGTGTGATCGAACACAGAACTGTCCTCTATTTCCTAAATGCTGTTTATGTGTGTAACTTGCCTTGTAGGATATATAAAATATATCATCTTCCAAATTAATCTAAGTACTTTATATACATTATCTTATTTAACATCTAAAATAATCTTATGACACAGGTGTATGGTGATATTTTATTTGTACTGAAATGTGATTTTATTTGCATATTAATTAATAAAGTTGCCTGGGGTCAGAGCTAATAGCAAGCCATTGCAGAAGTTGGGTGGTGGTGGTACACGCCTTTAATCCCAGCTCTTGGGAGGCAGAGCTAAGCGGATCTCTGTGTGTTCAAGGATACAGCCAGCATGGAGACACATGCCTTTAATCTCAATACCAACCATAGAAGACCTGGAGGTCTGTACAGATAGGCAGTGACGCGGAGGTCATGTGGTTGGGTTTACAACCAATGAGAAGGCAGAATAGAAAGTCTATAAAAAAGACAAACACACAGGAAGTAGCTCTCTTGGCTGAAGAGGACAGCAGCAACAGTGAAGGGTAAGGTTTTTAGCTCTTAGCTCTGACCTCTTGGGCTTTCATCTCTGCATTGGCTCTGTGTTTCTTATTTAACAAGACGGTTACATCTACACAGGTGATGTTTTATTTTGAAAAAAAAAAAAAGATTAAGTAAGTTAACTTTTCAACTCTATTAAATGCTGTTTCCTAGGAAACACTTATGAAACCAGAGTATCTTCAAAGAGAAAGACATCTGGTAAACTAACACTGTATTAGTGTTGGTATTCTTAAGGATATATTATATATTGATATTATTAGGAATAACAATCCATGTGGTATAATTTTATTAGTTCTTTAAGAGTTTTGTACAGATTGATCATATTCACTTTTCCCATTACTTTTGTTCCTTTTAAAAAGTTTAAACAATTTCTTTATTGATATTTTTGGGAATTTCACATCATGCACCCTAATTCCACTTACCTCCCAGTCCCTCCATATCTTCCCCTCATCCCTGCAGCGCCCCCCCAAGAGAAAATTTTAAAAAATCAAAACAAAACAAGCAAGCAAGCAAACAAACAAACAAAAACAAGAGCAATCAATGGCTTTTCTCAAGTACCAAAATGATATAAGGAGTTTGACCCACCAGGGGGCAGCATAAAAACAACTGGTGTACATTCTCTTGAAGAACATTTTCATGGCTTCCTGCGTGTGAGAACGAGTGAATCTCTGATTCTTGTGCCTTCTTTTGGGCTCTTTTCCTTCTGTTTGTCTTCTCCAACTCCAAGGTGGTAGTTTTTGTTTTATTATATTTTACTTTTTTTTTAATTATTAAAAAAAATTGTTGAATCAATTGGTAACTAACAAGTGTTTTTCCAGCCAATAGTGTTTGCTGTTCCAAAGAGTGTCAGGATGATCTCGCAGAATTCCAAATGGAAGCCAGTCAGTTCAGGCAATAGTCAGGTGTGAGCTGATGAACATCTCAGGTTCTTACCACCCAAGAAAGCCTCAAGATTCCAGGCTTCTATAGTCTTTCCTTTCCTACTACCTGCCTCCAAAGTCCCATGCCATCTATAGGAACATAAATGTCAGGAAAGACATACCTGTGGCAGGGAAAAGGACTGAGACTCTCCATAGCGTCTGAGTGAATTACACAAGATGGAGAGGGGGTATCTGGGGATGGATTTGGAAGAAATTACATCACACTTCTTACCTTTACTGCTTCCAGCTCCTCCTTGCTGGCTGCTTGCTGTTTTTCCAGCCTGGTACTTAACTGAGAACATATCTAAAGGCAGAAAAGAGAGTTTCTTTACTAGAAAACAGAATGACCAGTGACACAACTGTCTATCAACTCACAAAGCACACTAACATGCCTGATCCTAGGGGACATTTTGCAAATAAGCAGCACTGCAAACCTAGTCATTTCTGAAACAAGCAGAAGGCCTGTGAGCTCCATGTGTGAAGCATGACTTAATCAGGAGAGACGTATTATGGGACAGATGAGCATCTTCTTGTCACTAGCTTTCTGTGGCTTTCTGAATCATAGTCTCTCTGTAGAATCACCTGTAGAATCTCTATTGAGAATCTACTCTGTAGAAGGTGTTATACTGGGAATTCAGTGAAAAGAACTCTGAACCAGCAACAATTCCCAATGGGCTTCAGAATATCTCTTTTCAATCATAAAAGTTTCCTTAAGTATCACTTAGCTCCTTCCTGACTAAACAGGGCTATGCTATAGTAATCAAACAAAAACAATGGATGTGCAGGGTCTAGAACTATTTAGCACCTGACCAGTAAAAAGCACACATTTAATAAAAATCTATTTGATGGTTGGTTCTGAAATAAGATGTTAGTAAGTACTGGGAACAAGTAGAAAGAAATGCTTTCCAGGGTGAAAATACTTAAAAAGTAGAATGTTCAAATCTATTGACTGAAATAAGAATCTTTCCTTTTACAAAAATGAATGAAAACAAGTCTTAAAACATCTGACAAAATAGAAACATGAATGAAAAGCAAGGAATATCAAATTTTAAAGTGTACACTGGCTGCAACATATAAAACCTATCAAGATTTATTTATTTTATTTATATGAGTATTTTGCCTGAGTGTATGTGTGTACATCTCATGTGTGCCCAGTGTCCACAGAAGTCACAAGAAAGCATTGGATCCTCTAGAACTGGAGTTACAGATGGTTGTGAGTCACCATGTGGATGCTGGAAAATGAACCCAGGCCTTTTGTAAGAGCAACACATGTTCTTAACTGCTGAGCCATCTCTCTAACCCCTCCAAAAAGAAAACATTTAAAAACTTCTAGTTAATATTTTAAAAAAATTAAGGGCTGGAGGGATGGTCAGTGAGCAAGAGGGATTGCTAAGCAAGCATGAGGCCCTGAATTCAGAACCCATGTTAAAAGCCTTGTAAGGCTGTGCATCTGAAATATAGTAGCCACCTGTAGTATAATATAGCAATTAAAAATGTATTTGCATGTGGTGACAGGTTCCAGGGCTCACAGTCTTAATGTTTCCTGTGCTGATTTGCATCTAATTTCCCCACAAAAATCTTAGAATTACCTTTGTCCTTTCTAACAAAACAAACCAACCAACCCCAAACAAACCCTTGTGTCTCCTCTGTTTTAACTATTACTCATTGTGGTAGTTTGACTAGGAATGTCCCCCACAGACCTATGTGTTTGAATGCTTGGTCACCAGGGAGTGACACTATTAGGAGGTGTGTCCTTATTGGACTACTGAGGCCTTTTTGGGGGAAGCATCCCAGATGCTCAAGCTAGGCCCAGTGTGGCATTCTCTTCCTGCTGCCTGCTGATCCATGTGTAGAACTCTCAGCTCTTTCTCCAGCACCATGTCTGCCTGCGTGGTGCCATGCTTCCCGCCATGATAATAATGGAATAAACCTCTGAAACTGTAAGCCAGCCCCAATTAAATGTTTTCCTTTGTAAAAGTTGCTGTGGTCATGGTGTTTCTTCACAGCAACAGAAACCTTAAGACACTTATTTTGGCTTTCGGCACTATTTCTTCTCGTTTTTAATGTAGACTGTGTTCTTGCCTGTGTATCTCTCCCGCTGGCTCCATATTCCTCACTAGATCTGAATAGTGCAATAGTACATCCACCAGCAGCCACTTTCTGCTCAGAAATTCCTGTTTCAAACCAATACAAACCCCAACTCTTTAGCACAGACGTGGCCCTGTGGACTTCTGTGTCATTTCTGTATTTGAAATGCTTTTCTGTTCACTAATCTACCTCCATGACACCTCTCCAACATTTTCCATCCAGCATTCATTCAAATGCACACTCCAAGTCTTGCCTAGTCTTTGAAGTGCAGTTCAAATCGTAACATGTTCATAAAAGAGGTTTCCTGTGCCTGCTCTGGGAGCACATGTACTGATAGGAAAAAAGATACTTCCTCACTCCCCACATAGAGTGAGTTCCTTATGTCTATGCGCAGGAATTAGCCTCCCATTAAGACAAGCTAGAGGGTGGTGTGAGAGTACATATTTGTAGTACTAGCCCTAGGAAGCAGGAGAATTAAGGGTTCAGGTCATTTGGGCTGCATTAGACTTTGCTTCAAAATAAAAGAATAAAAAAAAATACTTCCTAAAGGAGAAAAAGTAGATTAATTCATATTATGATCCCCTGAAGTTTCAAGCTTCACCATCAGAAAGCGTTAAATAAACATGCTGCTATCACAAAAGGTGGAAGAGAGCTCATTTCTAATACATATTCCATGAACAGAAAGGATATTTACACACAGACACATATGTATATATGTATGTATGTATGTATGTTTATGTTTGTATGTGTGTGTTTATGTAAGTATGTGTGTATTTGTGTGTATGTTTATGCATTTATTACCACAGATCTATAGCCTCAGCCTTGAGGCAGCCTTATGAAAAGATGTTCCTAATATATGACTGGATCCTCCTTTACATATACAATGATGCATACTGAATACAGTGGTATCTCTAGTTAGTACAATTAAAGGAGGCTTGTTTTATATTTTTCTGTATGTAACTAACTTACTACAAAACATAAATTTCACTTATACACATAAAAAAGACTTTATAAAAATGCACATATCAGATATCAACATCCTTTATATATTGCCATCCAAGGAAATCCCCTAATCAGAAAACAGCATGTAGCACTGTACGTTCTGAAAGCCTGGAATGTAAGTATTCAATTCAAAGTCTCTCAGGATGAGGGGGTCCTTCCCATGTCTAGCTAACAAGAAGAAGAAGGACAAGAAGACACAACAGGAACCAGAGTGAAGGCTTTCTAGAACCACCTGGGTGATGGAGCCAGGAATACCTTCAGGTAGAGACAGCTCTCTATTAAAATAAACATTTTAAGGCCCACAGAAGAGTTTCTGCCAGTCCTGCCTTACAGAGGGCAAGTTTACATAACCAGCCTGAGAGAAAAGCACTATTTTGAACCACGAGAGCAGATGATAACATATTCCCCTGGCTACTGCCATTTAATAGAGTTACTAAGCTTTGCAATGAGGCAAATGTTACCAGTGTGACCTACTAGAAAAGAGTCCCAATGGGACTGTTTCCTACCCCACAGGAGCTATCCGACAGTAAAAAAAAAAAAAAAAAAAAAAAGCCAGCAGACTGTATTGGTTAACTAGGCTTCTCAAGTTACCAGCAAGCAAATGCAACTGCTGCCTATTCCAGAGTAGAGAGTAAGAAAGACACTGCAGTCAATCTAGAAATCTCTGGAAACAACAAACAAAAGCAATTGCTTTTATACAAAATAATTAAAAACCCACATGGCACATTACCTGTTTATACTCAGCAATGATAGCTGTAGTCTTCTTTATCTCATATTCTGCCTTTTCTAGCTGTTTCCTGAAGACTTCTTTTAGCTTAAAAAAGGAAAAAGAAAAAGGGAGAGAGAAACATCAGGACAGTCAAATTTGGTTTTCTTTTTAAAGATTTTATTTTTAATTTTGTACATGTGTATGTGGGTATGCATATGTGTGCCGGTGCCAGTGAAGGTCAGAAGAGGGTGCTGGATTCCCTAGACCTGGAGTTACAGCTGGTCGTGGGCTGCTCAACTTGGATGCGAAGAACTCTGGTCCTCTGCATGAGCAGCAAGTGCTCTTAGCTGCTGAGCCATGTCTCTAGCCCTTCAATCAAAATGTTAATCAATTTCCATAAACATCTACATTCAAGTCTCCCTGATTTGCATAATTCAAAACCTACCACTTACAGAGATGGAGAAGGCTTTCTTTTCTATAAAGTAGAAGACATACCAGTGGTCCTATAATAGAACTGCTTCTGCTTTCCAGGTACTTGATAAATGCTAAGTGTCAGCTCAGAAGCTGTCTTTCTTGTGAGTCTACAACAAAATAGCAGGGCAAGACTGTGTTCCAAGTATGTTACTCTTAATGCTGGGCTATATTTTGGCCTCCCTGTCTACAGTCCCCACTGCCATTGTTGCTGCAGGGGTAAGAGGTCTGGAGTCAGGAAGGGATGGATGATAAGAGCTCTTAAGAGGGACTGAAGGTTCAGGAAACTGGACAGAAGGAAAAAATGACACAGCATAGGGGTATTTGTTGTAGTTAGTGATTGCTAAATTATAAATATTATAGCAGCAGCCATAGAATTCTAGGATACAGGAAGGTTAAGTGATGAAAATGCTCAGATACCAGGATTCTGCCAAGTTGTTGGCCAAACAGAAATGCAAACAAACAAGCAAGCAAGCAAGCAAGCAAACACCTGCTCTAGTGAGTCTTTCAATACATACACAGACTAAAACCAAAATTACTGGGGCTGAAGAGATGGCTCAGCAGGTAAGAGGGCATAAAGATCCTGTAGAAAACCTGAATTCAGTTCCTAGCACTCGTATCAGGAGGCTCACTACTGTCTGTAACTTTGGATCCAGGGGATCCAATGCCCTCTTTTGACCTCTGTGGGTACCCACACATACATGGCATATAAAGACACACACATATATACATAAATGAAGGTAAGACAAATCTCTAAAAAGAAACCCCCAAAGATGAATTCTTCCAATTCATAATTTGAGAACTGATATGAAGAATTCATTTTTAAACATATTTCAATGGAAAAAAATCACAGAACTTTTTTTGTAGACCTTGGAAGGTGCTAATGACACATCTCCCCATATGTGTCTTCACTGACACTTTCTCTGGTTGCTTGGATGAAGGCCTTTGAAATTCTTGAGAATAAATTCAGTTTATATTTAGCATGACTGAATTTTCCTCAGGAGGAAACTCATGATTTCAGAAGGCTTCTCCCTCGGGAAGTTACTCATGTCCTGAGCAGGAGATGTTGGCTGAGTAATTCTACAATGTCATGTCCAGCACTGTGCTGTGATTCAGGAGAATGAAGCCAATGATGGAGACCAGGGCTCTGTCAGTCGGGCAGAAACCACCACAGGTCTCCAAGTCAGCAGTGTTCACAGCTACTTCAGAAGAGTCAACGATCTTGAAGATAAGGCAGAAAATTTCCAGATTCATCAAAGCTCTCGGATCATAACTAAAAGTCACTAGATCTAGAAAAAACAACATTCTCGCTGGACATCTCAGTGAAGGCAAACTCCTTAAAGATGTTTAAAGGGAGAATTATTACTTAACATTCCCCTTCATTTAGGGGGAAAATAAATGTTTACATTTATTTATTTCTATAATATTAGGGAACTTCCTGTAAGTCTATCCATACACAGAAAGCCTGACTGTGCCTTTTACCTGGGCAGTCTCCTCCTCTTGCTTCCTCTTCTCTTCCTCAGTCTCCACCAACCTCTGCTTGGTCAAGAGGAGCTCCTTGTTCAGCACGTCAGCCTTGTCCTCTGCCTGCAAGTGAAAAAAAAAAAAAAAAAAAAAAAGAGAGAGAGAAAAAAAGAGAGAGAGAGAGAGAGAGAGAGAGAGAGAGAAAAAAAAAAAAAAAAAGGCAAGCCATAAAGAAAGGGATGGAATCATGTGCATGCTTTTGATTACTTCAGGTTATTCTCCTCTCTTCCAGCTTACCTTGAGGGTGGATTTTTTTTTCTCTAACCAATTTTATGTGGCCACTTGGCTCACATCATTCTAATCTTTACAGAACAATAATTTATAGCTAATAACACTAAGGCTTGGAGAGATCAATCTTGGGTTAAACAGCAAATATAACAAGCATGACTTTGATTTGGATGTGAATGACATTGAAGTCTGTGTTCTTTCTAAACACTTCTTGAATATTTCTATATGTCCCACGAGCATATACTCTGAAGACATGGGCCTGATGAGGAGGAAGAGCCTTTCACACACAAGTTTTGGAAACATACGGGGCAGACACAGAGAGGACAAGTAAACAGACTGATCCATGGACATATTTTGGTAGAAAAATTTGAAAACTAGTTGACGTAAACAGGCCCATAGGGTCATTTATATAGGTCTGTGAGCAAAATAAGAAACTGTGACAGAGAACCAATATGAGAGGCTATGAAAAGCTGCAGTTTGTACCAGAAATCCAGGCAGCTAAGACTGCACTTCTAGAATACGCAGGAGAAGCTTAGAGAGTACTTTTTTGTTAACTTGAATACAGAACCAAAATTAACTAAAATTCCCCATGTATATTTAATATAGCTAGCCTTGTCTGTTTTTATACTCTGAGGTCCTAACTTCACTCTTTGGTTCTAGCCACACATTCACATCACGGTGAACATAACCCAAGCCTGCCCTACTGGCTCCCATCTAAATTGCCTCTGCTGCTTTCTCTCTTCTGTTACACTCCACAGCACTGTAATAAATATGCGTGGGACTTACATGCCTTGCCACTATGCTTTAAACACCAGGAGAAACCATATCTATTTTGCTCTTTATTGTCGCTGGCACCACAGCCACCCTGGGGACAGGAGCAATCTCTTAAGTGGTTAGTGACTGAATGGATGTGGCTTTCTAAGGAACTGGAGAAGGAGACTGCTTGCAGAGGAGGTGGCAAAAGGCCACAGGATGAGTTTAGCAGAGAAGACCCTGAGGCAGAGGAGAGGCAACTATCTGAAGAAACTGTCCTTAGCTGACAGTGGCCAAATGTCATCTAAGTAATCATGCACGTTGGCCAGGTGGCTTCTGTTTGTGTTTCGCCATCTTTTCCACAGGTCTAGATGGTTGAGCCAAAAGTTTGCTGGAAACTGGCAGAGAACTTCGACCCAGATTCTCAGTTTTCACTGCCTTCTAGTCCCAACACCCTATGCTCTAGGGGCCAGACTGTTTTCAGAGCATTCAGAAAGAACCACTGGGTATTTAAGGTGAAAAAGTTCCTTAGGCATCTTGAAGACTCAGGGCAGCAGGGTTGAGTGGGGTGTGGGGCTCTTAGACGGTATGCCTGTCAGGCATGCAGAGGCCCTGACTTCAGTTCCTATTGCTACAGAAGTGGGACTTAGTGGGGCATGCCAGTAATCTCAACACTCAGCAGGTGGAAGAAGGAGGACCAGAAGTTCAACGTTATCCTTGACTGCACAGTGAATCAGAGGCCAAGATGGCTACATGAGATACACACACCACACACACCACACACACCACACACACCACCACCACCACCACCCTCTCCCCTCCCCACCTCTTAAAGACTCTAAAATTTATTCTGATGCATTAAATTTTAGGTGGGGAGGCAACAGTGATTGGCCCAGTAGGTAAAGGCACTGGCCACTAATCCTGACAACTTGAGTTCTATTCCTGGAACCCACACGGCAAAAGAAGAGAAAGCACCCCCACAAGAAGTCCTCTGCCCTCCACATACATGCTGTGGCACATGCACACCCCTATTTCAACATAAATCAATGAATAATTATAAAAAATATTTTCAAGTTTAGTGGAAAAAAATCAGAATTACAGGTAGACCCCAAAATGCAACTTGCAAAAACTGTAATTCATGAATTGTGGGAATCTCAGAGATTACAGGAATTCAATAATAAATTCTACAAGCTGCTATCCAGACATCTCAGGTGACTCACCAAGCAGGAGACCATCCTCAAAGTGCCTGATAGGTGGTCACAGCATGACCAATCAGAAGAAATCAAAGTTCCGAGAAACTAACAAAATATGCCTCCTACTGGGTCCAGCTCTACCTGAGAATATCAGAGTTCTGCCGATAAAAAGAGATGGCAACAGCTCCTTTTTGTCACAACTCAGCAAATGTTCATTTGCAAAGAGAACAATCCTAATATATGCACAGTATAAGCTCTGAAATAATGTTCTAAAAATCTGATGTCTTCAAGAGAGATACCTTAGCATTCTGTCAACGTGAACAGTAATGCTATGCAGACTTCAGTGGAAGTTTAAGTCTTGTAGCATATCCAGCCATTTTCTAGTTTTGGAAACTATAAGGAACAGAAGCCCTTCCTTGTGAAATATTAAAAAAACATTTAAATATTTATGCTGAAGACCCTATAATTTTTTATATATGTTTTCTATTGGATAGTCATTGTTAGGCCATGATAGGTGGCTTTATATAATTGACTGGGCAAGTGTCCATGAGCCCTGCGTGTGTGGAGTTCCACAGTCTTTTAGGAAACTTTATTCCAAGGATCTACTCTATGTTAAACAGTGAAGTAGAAGTCATTCTCCTGCCTATCAAAATAAGACCAGATCACAAATGATCTGACTCCACCTGTAAAAATAGGTTTCTGGATTTCTATATACCCATTAATTCTATTCCTTGTTCAAGCAGGCATTGTCTAAAATATTTAACATGCATAATATTAAACAGAGATTTACTCAAACACTACCTGTGAACCCAAATTATAAAACCTTCATCATAATTTGATAGTCTGAATAGAACATTATCAAGTCTTTAGTTATAATGATTATTGATATTTGAAGTTTAAATCACAGTTGATGGCTTCTGTGACATAAATACAGGAGAGAAACAGTGACTGCAATGCCTACTTAGTCACAAATCAACCAGTGACCCAAACCAATGCTTGAGTAAACTGGGATGAGGATCTTTTTTTTTTTTTTCAGAGTTGAGGACTGAACCCAGGGCCTTGTGCTTGCTAGGCAAGCGCTCTACCACTGAGCTAAATCCCCAAGCCCCTGGGATGAGGATCTTATAAAAGGATTTTTGATCAAACTCATCAGGCCAACTGTCCAATTTAGAACAAAACAAAAGAATGCACACACTCTCAAGACCTGAGCTTCTGGCCCGTGGTCAGAAGGAACTCAGACATATCTCCATGGGAAAGCACTAATTTTATCTCTTCTTTCTTGTTCCTTAAGAGCACAGGAGAACAAAAAGGGCCTGAAACGACTGAAATGAAGATGTTTCTTTAATCGTTTCTAATCCCTGAGGAATCCTTATTTAATAAGTAGTCTAAGGCTGAGTTGTCAGAAGAAAAGAGTTCTTTGTCCGAGAGAAAAGCTGAGGTACCTCTGCTGCCCAGGGCATCCCAGACATCTAGCCCAGCAGTACAGTGACAAGGATAAGGAATTACTTATTTTGAAAAAAGTACCTAGCCAGCATTTATTTACTTTACACATCATCTCACATACAACCCACTTTCACATGTAGTAATGTTTGCTATTTTGATTACAGCACTGGATTCTGATCTACTGAAAGCAAAGGTCCTGGGCATACAGGAGGAGCAGGTAAAGCCAGTCTTTTCACTCCTAGGCTAATACCCTTCCCTGAAGAGCAGTAGACCAGAAGTCCGTGTGACAAGAAAAAACCTTCTGCAGAGGCAGAAACTGCAAAATCAGAAGTTCGGAGAGATGCATGAAACAGCAGTTTTGATTCTTTCTTCTATATAATTAGCTACAAAACAAAGGTTCTAGGATACCACTGTTTTAAAAGGCAGAGAGAGCCATGGATATATATAGCAAAGCAGGAAGGGAGAAATAAAGGCATGATGGACGTGTGTGTGTGTGTGTGTGTGTGTGTGTGTGTGTGTGTGTGTGTGTGTATACACATATGCGTATGTATAGAGGCCAAAGGTTAATCCCTTGTGTCTTCCTCAGAGCTTAACAATTTGTCTAGGAGGGCTAGCCAACAAATTCCAGATTTGCCTGTTTCCCTTCCCTCAGTGCTGGGTTACAGATGCACACTATCCTGGTTGGTACTGAGGACTCAAACTCAGGTTCTCCTGCTCGCATAGCAAACACTATACCTACCAGACCACATCACTTGCCCCTAGAACCCTTCCCAAAGGAACTGATTTTAATGTCCACAAGAAGTACAGAGGTACTCAATACTCAGTTTCAATCATTTCAGACTAACCCACAAAAGGGATTCTCTTGCAGATGACTTTTCAAGTAATATTCTCTTGTTTATAAAGTTATACATTCTTATATGAAATGTATATTATTTTTCTAGCCTCATTATTTTAAAAAAAATTCCAAAAACATGTTTTATAGAAGTACTATCATTCTTTATATCATTTCTATATTTTATTTCTTATAAGTAATATTTTAGTAAGTAAACTTTCATATTCATTCTTTAAATCTCTACTTTTAAAGGATAACTTTTCAAGTTGAAGTATATCAGCTTTCTCATTTGTAAAGTGAGGGCTCTAAAATAATGCTTGCCTCAAAAGTTGAATTAGCACCAAGCAGAAATAACCATTCCACAAGATTAATGATGTGTGTGGGTTTCCAGACACAAAGACAAAATATGAAGCCTTATCCCAGTGGGTCCAGTGAGGGAGAATGTGGTGATATTGTGTCCCCCAATATACTGTGCACCTTAATAAACTTATCTGGGGTCAGAGAACAGAACAGCTGCTAGATATAGAGGCCAGAAAATGGTGGCACACACACCTTTAATCCTAGCATTCCGGAGGCAGAGATCCATCCAGATCTCTGTGAGTTCAAAGCCACACTGGAAACAGCCAGGCATGGTAACACATGCCTTTAATCCAGGAAGTGATGGCAGGAAGCAGAAAGGTATATAAGATGCGAAAACCAGGAACTAGAGTCTGTTAAGCTTTTAGGCTTTTGAGCAGCAGTTCAGCTGAGATCCATTCTGATGAGGACACAGAGGCTTCCAGTCTGAGGAAACTTGAGATCAGGTAAGGAATTGGCAAGGTGAGGTTAGCTGTGGCTGGTTCTGCTTCTCTGATCTTCCAGCGTTCACCCCGATACCTGGCTCTGGGTTTGTTTTTATTTATTTTTTATTTTTTTGGGGGGGTTTGTTTTTATTAATAAGACCTTCAAACAATTGGTGCTACAGCAGAACACTTTGAAAAGACCTGAGGCCTAGCATGAAAGAGCAGCTAAAACCCTAACAAAGTTGGGCATGGTGGCCCACACCTTTAATCCCAGCACTTGGGAGGCAGAGGCAGACAGATATCTGTGAGTTTAAGGACAGTCTGGTCTACAGAGCAAGTTCCAGGACAGCCAGGGCTACACAGAGAAACCTGTCTGAAAAAAATAAAATGAATAAAATTAAAAAAAAAATTTTAAAAAGACGTCTGTTATTGCGGGAAAAACAGTGAACTCATTTTGTACCAAAATTCATTAAAAAACAAATAAATAAAATAAAACACCAACAAAGAGACTGAAAATCGCCAGGCAGTGGTGGCGCACACTTTGTTCCCAGCACTTGAGGGGCAGAGGCAGGCATATCTCTCTCAGGTTGAGGTCAGCCTGGTCTACAGAGTGAGTTACAGGATAGCCAGGACTACACAGAGAAACCTTGTTTCAAAAAAACCACGAGAGAGAGGAGAGAGAGGAGAGAGGGCGAGGGGAGAACCAGGAAAGTGACACCCCCACCAAAAGCTGTGGCACAGCCAGCAAAAAAGACAGCTTTCCAAAGGAGTGAAACTGATAAATAATCTGAATTAGAGGCCTCAGAGTCACACTGAAATGTAAAACTGAGGCCCCTTCTCTAGGCAATCCATGGACTTTGGTATCCCTGAAGCTTTAGTTTTTCTTGTACTGAGGACTACATTCACCTTCCAATTTGTTCTCTATTCTGTCTGAGTGAAAAAGCAATGACAGACACAGTAAGAATATACAGACATCAGAGAGAGGTTCAAGGCCAGGCAGAGAAAGAAAAGACATAAATGACCTCAAGAGAGAGACTCACTGACTGGGAGACAGAGGAAGGAATTCACTAGACATCTGCTTGTTAGGCACAGCTGATTTGTCCATTTTTGTTATTGCTAAACTGGAATCGTTGTTTCAGAAGCAGGTATCCATGTTGCACAGATGTCTGATCACCTCTCTGGTTACCAGAGAGACTGGTGGGTCAAGTATGGTGGTTTTCATTCTTATACTGAGTGATCAGGCAGGGCAAAATCTCAGAGGTTTGAAATTAATGTCCCTACTATCATATATATTAAAAAGTATTTGCTTCATGGGATTATCAGGAAGATTAATGGAGACAATACTTATAAGTTAATATGCACAGTGCTTAGCATACAGAAAGTAATCACTAAAATATAACTATTTGCTTAAGCATTATGTAGGTTTACTACAAACTACCAAATAACTTTCATTTTCTTTCTAGTTCATTTCACTGTATCCCCACTGAGCACAAATCTTCCATTTTCTTTACTTAGTTAACCATCTTAAGAAAATTAATAGAGAACAAATGATTCAAAATGGTAGAACCAGGGGGCGAGTACATGTACCCAGGAAGCGAGTATGTAAACAGAGACTTTCCCTTTAACCCTGCATTCCTGAGGTCATGCTGAACTGGCCCTAAGTGATTGGAGGCCTTCCTCAGCTCTGGCCCTTAGCCACATCCTTCTTTCCTGACTTCTATCAACTTCCAAATGGACTAGGAGGAATAGAATTTGTTGTTAAAGGAATGAAATGGTCCTCTTCTTCTACTTTCTAGTCCCTGTTCTCCAATTAGCACAATTTGTTTTTGTTTGTTTGTTTTTATTTTCAGTCAATTTAGGGGTTGGAAATGCAGTTCAATGGTAAAGTACTTGCCCAGCATACCCGAATCCTGTGGTTCAATCTCTAGCTTTGGGCAGAAAAAAAAAATTCAGATTTAATGCTGGTTCTGCCCAGCTTCATCCTGCCCTCTTATTATTATTTGCCTTAATAGTTAGGTTTTACCTCCCATATAAAAACTTCTGAGTTGGGGCTGGAGAGATGGCTCTGTATTAGGAGCACATACTGCTTTTGCAGAGGACCCAAGTTTAATTCCCAGCACCTACATGGCAGCTCACAAAGGTCCCTAACTATAGTTCCAGGGTATCCAACTCTTTCTTTTGGCCTCCTCAAGCACCATGCACACATCTTACAAAACATTTAAAAAATTAAAAAAAAATGAGTCACAAAATTAGATGTTTAAGATGGGAGATTAAAAAAAAAAAAAAGTTGTGCCAGAGACCATTTTAAGCTATCCTTTAATTTTAAGCAGAGTACATTATTAGTGAATTTGTGTTTAAATCCTATAACTATCCAGTCACCATACAGGCAATAATAATCTTTCAGATTCAAAAGTCTCAATTTTTCTGACATTGGTCTATTTTGAATATTTTCATTTTAGAAGGTGGAAAACAGCAGAAATTTAAAACTGTACATGAATTCTTCCATCTTAGCAATCATTCTGAAAATGCTTGCAAAAGAAAACAGGAAGTCCAAAGACTGTCAGCGAGGAACAAGGGAAGCCCAACAATCAAAGGGTTTCCTGGCAACAGCTACCAGGTAATGAACACACACTACTTGTCTTAGTTAGGTTTCTATTGCTGTGATAGAACACAGCAACCAAAAGCAACTTAGGGAGGAAAGGGTTTATTTCATCTTACACTTTCAGGTAATGGTTTACCACTGAGGAAGTTCTGGGCAGGAACTCAAACAGGGCAGGACCTGGACACAGGAGCTGATGCAAAGGCCATAAAGAAGTGCTACTACATACTGGCTTGCTCAGCCTGATTTCTTATACAATTCAGGACCACCTGTGCAGGACCACCCACGGTGAGCTGAGCCCTCCCATTCCCATCAAGAAAAATATAACATAGGCTTGCCCACAGTGGGTCTGTAGGCATTTTTGTAACTGAGGTCCCCTCTTCTTAAATGACTCTGGCTTGTGTCAAGCTGACATACAACTAGCCAGCACACAACTGAAGGGTGTTCTGAATTCTTACATCACCCCTATGAGGTAGACACTTTTCATACCTCTAGATTGCCCAGGGTATACAGTTAGGAAGATTCCCAGAGGCAGTCTGTCTTTAGCCACTAAGATGCCTGTCAACTCAACAGTTCAGCTCTTCTTGAACAGTGCCCTTTGTTTTTCCTTCCTGTTTTGTTTGATGAGATAGTCTCCTATGTAACTCAGGCTAACCTTGAAGCTGAACTCCCGATCCTCCTCCTTCCACCTCTTGATTCCTAGGATTAAAGACAGTATTGGCACACCTGGCCTATCTCTTAATGTACGTTCTCCACATTTGATTCTACATGTCACAGAGGAGAACTACTACTATAGCAGAAAGAGGTCTCTAAATGTCAAAGTGGCATTAGTATACTCTTGCTGACTAATATTTTGGGGTAATTATACTGGCAGCTCTTGGTTTAGGGAAAGTACTGGCAGAGGAAAGACTTGCTATAGGATTTAAAGAGTATGTCGTCACAGAAGTTGTTTGGAAATAGCCTTTCTCTAGGACTTGCATTTCCACTCTCTGTAATGAACGCAGGCCGTCCTTTCCTACCTGCCCCCACTCAGTCATCTATCCCACAGCTCACTCATGTCAAGAGTAGAGCAAGCACAGGGGAGGTGGTGCTCACCTTTAACTCCCCCAGCATTTGGGAGGCAGAGGCAGGTGGATCTCTATGACTTCCAGGCCAGCCTGGTCTACAGAGTGAGTTCCAGGATAGCCAGAGCAACATAGTGAAACCCTGTCTCAAAACAAAACAAAACAAACAAAAAACCAAACCAAAGCAAAAGAACAGGGCAAGCTTTAGGGAATACTTCCGGGGCACCTTGGTCCTCAACCTCAAAGAAGCTGTTATAGTAACATTTTTTTATTCAGTGAAGGACAAACTTACCTGATCCAAGTCATTCCGAAGAGCAATTTTGCTTGTCACTAGTTCATGGGCAAGGTCATCATTCTCTTGTTCCAGCCTCATGCTGGCTTCCTGTAATCTTCGGTTCTCCCTCTGAAGAAAAAGAGCAACAGCCAGAAGTACATATCAGTGCCTGCACATATGAGTAGACACTGGCGGGGGGGGGGGTGGGGGTGGGGCAAGCGACAGCAACAAAGTGAACTCTCAAAGGTGTAAGAGAGAAGGCGCAGTGGCACAGGAAGGCAGGATGCTGTCAGGGAAACAACAGTGAGTTTAGCCAGCAGTGCGGATGCGGTTCTCTACCAGTGAAGTTTAACAACCACCCCCTAAAACCTCCAGACAGAACTTCATTAGGTAAGATGCTCCACACAGAGCACAGTTCCAAATGTGCTCCCAATTATGGGAGCTTTTCATATAGACCTAGAACACAGACACAAACAATTCTTATTTGAAGCATGCACAGTTTGACATCTAGAGAAAATAGTCTACAGGACACACAGAAATGACGCTGGTCTTTTTTTTTTTTTTTTTTTTCAAATTGCTTCTCTAAGATGAGGAGCCAAATGAATTGAAGCTGCTTAAAAACAGTAAACCCAAAATCAAAATATGTGGGTTCAAAAGGAAAAAAGAAGACATGTGAGTTTGTGATTCTCTACCAGCTGATTGTTTTATTCTTTATTTAAGATATATTTACTTCTTCACATACCTGTTTTTGTGTTACCGAGAGCAATGGGCCCTGAAAAGTACTTACTAAATGTTTATTCTGGATAATGATTCTAAATGATTCTGGATAAAATACAATATTGAGTTGTTTTTCTCCTACTTTGAACTCTCAGGAAAAGTTTGTTATCATGAATGAATTAAGTGACTTTTAGGAAGCAAGGCACCTCTTTACTAGCTGTGAACCGAGTATGCATGTCTATTTCAGAATAGCAGCTTGGTGCCTTATATCACACACTATCCAAAATGTTTTCTTTGTTACTGTTGATTGCAAGAAACTCCAAAGGGGACTGACAGGAAGAGCTTCAGTGTAACAAGCTCTTTCTGGTTTTAGATTTACAGCTCTGTCAGTGTTTTCTAAAAGAGTGGCAAACCCAGGCAAAGCATTGCAAAAACAGAAGACACGTGTATGTTCTGAAGATGGTATGGCATGGCACACTAGAGGTGGGGATTAATCACCTGTTGCAGAACAACATGGTGTTTCTTAAACAGAGAAACTAATCCTTAATAACCCACTGCCCTCTTCTGAATCCGGTCTATAAAACAGACAGTAAGAGCAAGTCCTGAGTCTTTCATGGAGACTGAGGACCCATAAACAGGAAGGTCAGCAGAGAAGTTGAATGGTAGACCTACACTTTGATGACGTCTTTTCATTTGGAAAAAATGGACAGAGACAGCTGGGGGATATAAACAGCCTCTTACAAAACATATCTACTAAAAGCAAAAGAGAAATTCTAAATTACTCAATACTTTAAAGAAAATTCATGATTGAATTCCATATATTAATACACACTAGACAAAATTTTCTAAAAATAGCTAGAAAATCCAATTTTTATAACAATATGATCAACAGATATCAGCTGTAGGCAGTAGGTTAGTTTTAGTATTATCTTTCTCTTCTTGAAATGTCCCCAAGTTTTCTAGAATGACTATAATACAATTAAAATAGGATTTAAAAAACTTTTGTTAAACTCCTTCAATTCAGAATTTCAATTCTACTAGAGGGGCTAAAACACTAAAATGTGAAGGAGGAGGAGGAGGAGGAGGAGAGGAAGAGAAGAAGAAGAAGAAGAAGAAGAAGAAGAAGAAGAAGAAGAAGAAGAAGAAGAAGAAGAAGAAGAAGAAGAAGAAGAAGAAGAAGAA